AAAAGAAAAGAAAAGAAAAATAAAAATTCCCCAGACAAGTAGAAAGCTTATTTTAATCCAGAAACATCCCTGTACATAGGCGACTAGAGTATAGAATTGAAAATGTAAAAAGTGTAAAGGGTAACATATTAATAGGGCACTTGCTTGCAGGCGTCATTTACTAGCAATATACGTACCAGACTCCCTTGCACACTTTATTTCGTTCAGTTAATTAATACCAATTGTCTTATTATTCTCATGAGGGAATACAAATTTGAATAAGAAACAATATTCGCGAAGCATTTTCGTAGTGGTAGTAAAATGACGCCATCAKGCAAACAGCCAATTAGATTTAAYCTGCCTATGACCTTATTAGTAATATTTATGGCTATTCATTGCTCCGGGAGAATGCGGAACGGGTCACGTGACATTTGTTTGCGCACGTTAAGCAGCTTAGAAAAATTGTCTTTTTTTTTTTTTTTTGGAATATAAAAGAGTTTGCGAGAAAAGAATGTAGAAACAGGTAAAGTATAGTAACTATATATATATATATATAATTTTATAGTTTCTTCATTTGGAGTCTATCGGCTATCAATGGAAGCAGCTTGAAAGCAGAAATAGACGCGGCGTCCACTCTCGCCATTACTACGCATGGCTCCGGAGGAAAAAACCTTTTTCGAATTTTGACAGTTTTTAATGACGCAATGGACGCCATCTTGGAAATATGTCCACTAGGACAGTCCGACAATGCACTCCAATGAAAGACAGCTCAAACCAAGTTTTTTCTTCGACCTCGGAATGGCAAATATAGAAAAGCAGAGATAAAAGACACTCAAATAACTAACCTAATAAAATATAATTATTAAGGAGATTGAAATTCCCGTAATCCATTCATTAAGAATAAAAAAATATACAAGCGGCTGCTTATAAAGATCTGCTTATCCGTTCTTCGGCATTTATTGGAATTATTATGCCGTTAGGAATTGTCATCACTTTAGTCCTTGTATTTCTATAGATTTACCTGTGGGAAAAGAATAATATTTGAAATACTGTTTCCCCATTTCAGGCCACGTGTCATTCCCTAGAGTATCATTTCTTTGTTTAACAGTTGCGCATAAGAAGACACATGAATATGGATACAACTAAAACGAATAATCTTATTCTCAAGACCATGTGTCATTCCCTAGAGTATCATTTCTTTGTTTAACGGTTGCACATGAGAAGACACATGAATATGGATACAACTAAAACAAAGAATCTTATTCTCAAGACCACCTGTCATTCCCTAGAGTATCATTTCTTTGTTTAACAGTTGCACATGAGAAGACACATGAATATGGATACAACCCAAACAAAGAATCTTATTCTCAAGACCATGTGTCATTACCTAGAGTATCATTTCTTTGTTTAACAGTTGCGCGCGCAGTAGAAGGCACATGGGTATGGATCGATACAACTCAAGCAAAGGATCTTTTTCTCAAGAGAGTGACACGTTGTCTGAAATGGGCAAAACATGAAGTGGATTTGGTCCATTATTTCAAAGGAAATAGATAAATTGGTTTATTTCTAAAAATACAGAAATTTATTTCGTATTTTGAATGCTGCAAGCATTGGTATTTATCGAGAAACATTCCAAAGTTGTCCATTCATTAAGGCGCAATTTATACGGAGCAACTCTCTCTGCAACTGTTCTCGCAACAGCGTTGCGACACACGTTGCAAGAGTGTCTACACGATGCAACGGAGACGCAATCATTGCCAAAAGTAGGAACGAACTCTACTTTTCGCAAGGTCTGCTGCAACTTGTCTCAAAACATTTTTCAAATTGCGCTGTAGTTAACACGCTGCAATGCTCCATGCAACGCCGTTGCGACACAAGTTGCAGAAAAAATTGCTCCGCGTAAACGCGCCTTTTCTATGAATGATAATAAATATTTACCATTATTATTAGGACATATAGGATTGGTGCCATTGGTTGATCTATATCCTTCTAATTTTATACCATCACTGTTAACACACCAGCATTCTTTAGTAACGAGGTGACACTGTAATGGTTTATAACTGCCATCATGATCGTTACAGTCTGGATTGTGGGTACTGAGGTCGAACCTGAATTCCAGTTTTTCCTGTTGACATTTTGTTAAAGGGGTTCCTGCATAGAAGAAAAGATGGGTATTTATACTGCTTTTTCAAGATACAGATCTGTCGGCAAGTCAGTCGGCAAGTCAGTGGGTCAGTCGGCAAGTCAGTGGGTCAGTCGGCAAGTCAGTCGGTCAGTCGGCAAGTCAGTCGGTCAGTCGGTCAGTCGGTCAGTCGGTCAGTCGGTCAGTCGGTCTTCAAAGAAAATAATATCGTCACCTCTACATTGTTGTTGACATTCTTGATAACTGACAAACTTGTTCTCATTACCGGCACATCCTCCATACAAGAACACACTACATGCATTAGTTGCACTGTTGAAATACCATCGACGTAGCATCGCTTCACATGGTCCTCGAACGAAGGGCATCTTGCATATCTCATTATCCTCTGTGCCAAAAAATAGCAATTTTTATTGTGGTGGTGAAGGTGAAAGTCTTTAGAATTTAAAAGTGATTGTATTGTAGAATTTGAGCATTTTTGGTATATACCTCTTGCATTGATTTCTTAGAGGTCAGTTTAGAGGAATTGTTATGGGGGAACAAAACAATAGAGCGTTTTCACTCACGTGACAAGGCAGCCATAATAAGTTTTGCATAAAGATAGAGTTCACTTCCCGTAGGATAGAACATGTATTGTTTTGGTACACCAAGATGGCCGTTTTAACGGAAAACGCTCTAAAGGGCATCTTTTCTTAGTAAAAGAGAATCCATCCGGACAAGTGCAAGGGGTCTATAGTAATGCTAACATACAGGCATGCATTGGTGAATATTGTGACACTGAAATGGGGCTAACCCTGAGTAAATAAGCTTGTGTATGTCTATTAGAAAGACAAGCAGCATTATATTTTCCAAACCTTTGGAACGACAATCAGCCATGCCGGTGCGTCTAGTGCCGAGTACTTCTCGGTTATATCTGTCAACACACCAACATTGTCCAACATTACACTGCATAGGTGAATAGCTACCATCCACCTCACACCGGGAAATGAGTGAGCTTCCTTGGGCTATTGCTTTATTGTGAAGAACCTGGCACTGGGTTAGTCCGAGACCTTAAAAAAAGTACATTTGATTAAGATACAATAGTAAGCCGTATGGGAGGATCGAAAAATCYAGGCATAACAGCGATTCGGTGGTCAATCTGTCACACACATGGGACATCGTTCTAAGGGATACTCCTCACAGATTGACACGTGACCGTCACGTGATCAGATTTCAAGCTATCCTGAAGAAGACTAGTGGTTCTAGTCTGCGAGACGTCGCCAGCTTCTGTTTGTAGATTCCAGTATAGTAACTGACCCATTATCTTTAATTAGTAAGTAGTAATTCTTGTAAGTGAAATTAGTTTCCCTTGCCACGAGGTTTTTCTTTGGAATCTCTGGTTTTCGAATCCCCGTAAAAATCAACATGTGAATTGAGTTTGTTTGATGTGTTTTTCTTGCCACGAGGGTTTTTCTCCGGGTTCTCCATGAGTTAGGTGCTTGAATACTAAGGCCCCGTCAACACGTATCCGGAAATTTTTGTATCCGCAAATTTTTGTTGTGGATACGGGTTCCGTCCACACGTGTTCGGAAATTTTTGTATCCGTATCCGGAAATTTTCGAAAACGGTCTCCAGAGTGGAAATTTTCGAATACGCTCCGAATACGGATACGTGTGGACGGTCGTATCCGCAAATTTTCGAATACGCTGACGTAAACACGATTTTGCGCATGCTCAGTAAGAAAAACTATCCGTCGAATGGACTWGGCACTAGCGTGCATCAGGGCGGATCAAGAAATTTCCGGATACGTGTGGACAGTGAAAACGATTCGAATACGCTGCGTGTAGACGCGAACATTTTCGTATGCGCGAAAAAAATAAAAAAATTGCGGATACAAAACTTTCCGGATAGGTGTGGACGGGGCCTAAACTTAGTGCTTTTATTTGCGTGGCCTGGAACAAAACATCGAGGGTTGTGGCCTATTCAGCCTGATGTGGACTTGACGTACTTACCTGAACAGTTTCTGGGTTCCATAGTCACGGTATCATAGAATTCATTTCCATATTCATTGACGCACCAACACATTCCATGAGAACACTGCACCGGTGAAAAGCGACCATTTTTTTGACATTGGAAAAGAGGTTTGTCGGTTAAGTTCTTTGCATTTGATTCTTTACGGATTTCTTCACACAAAGATTTTTCTCCTACAAAAATGTAATGATAAAAAACTATGACACAGTTGTTTTGTAGTTAATTAGTTTTTTTTTGTTTTTGTTTTTTTGTTTTAACTAAAGTAACCATTAACATACATGAAAAAATTATTCAATTCTGATTGGCTTAGAGCAGTGTTGTTAAAACGTAATGCAGTGCAGAAAAATGTAATACAGTGCAAATTATAAACGGAAATCTCGCTTTTGATTGGATAATAAACAATAGAAAATGATTTTAGCCAATAAGATGACAGATTTTTAGGACAAAAAATGTAAGGAAAATTTAGCAAATTGAGGGGGAACAATGGCAGCCATTTTATGTTAGATAAAAGTAAGCAACGATTTTACGGATTTTACTATCAAACAACTAAGAAACCGTTCTGGGTGATGTGAAAGCCTTTGATCTCATCCTGGCCAAAATTCAATCATCCGATTCTATGTAACAAAAAGCTACCACTAGTCTTGTTCTGAACAAACCTYGTGCCTGTTTAGGCGTAATGCTTTCCTATTTCAGACCACRTGACATTCCCTAGAGTATTATTTCTTCGTTTAAGGTTTGCGCTCGGTTGCGCATGAGAAGACACATGAATATGGATACAATATTATTCTCAAGTGAATGACACGTGGTCTGAAAAGGGATGTCGTTACGCCCGCGGCGTCTATATTTGAAAGGGGAAAAATTTGCAGTTTTTTATTTACCGCAAAAAGGACGAATTCCTGGTCTTCTTCTGGAATCTTCTACCTCAATGCCATGGCTGTTAACACACCAGCAAGTCTTCTCTGTGCTGACAGGGTCAGTGTGACATTGAACGGGTTCGTAAGCACCGCTTGGCTTACACTCAGGAACAAATAGTCCCACCACAGGGGTACCATCATTTCCCATTGCTTGACGTCGCTGTATTTGGCATGGAGTTAGCCATGCTGAATGATAAACAAATAAAAGTAAATCCCTTAACTGCTGAAGTAGTAAGAAGTAAGAAGACATGGAAAATGAGTTTTCGAGTTTGATTCCAGATTGCACGTCTTGGATTCCAGATTGCACATCTTGGATTCCAGATTTCACATCTTGGATTCMARATTGCACATGGTTCCAGATTACACATGATTCCAGATTGCACAGACTTCCAGATTGCACATCTTGGTTTCTAGATTGCACCTATTGGATTCCAGATTGCACATCTTGGTTTCTAGATTGCACCTATTGGATTCCAGATTGC